AGAGGAGTCCCCGTGTCGGAGAGTCGACATGTGTGTGAGTCAGCGGTCTTAGGCGAAAGGCTGACCTATGTGTTAGAGAGGAGAGCTCGGCTCTTCGAGTCTCTGTCGGCCCCAGTGCCGAAATTGTAACGCCTCTGTATATATGCTGTACATAAACCTTGTTTAACTCACCGTCGTCTCGTCCGCTCGTCTTATCAGCTCTGCGCAGAAGCAGTCGCGAGCTGATAAACATACGCTACCAAACGGCTGGTGACCTTCCCGGCGGAGTTGGAAGCAGTGGCGCCTTCGGGGCCGTGTTGGCGTCGCCGTCTTTCGCAACAGTGGTGGCTTCGGCGGGATCGGTCCGTCGTTCGCAACAGTGGAGGTCAGCGGTGGGATTCGGAGGTGGCTTCGCAACAGTGGTGGCAGCGGTGGGATCGGCCGGCGTCAGCGACATTGATGCGGTGAGTGCCTGATGTTTTCCCCTCAGTTCACCAGACTACTCTAGCTCAGGTTGTAGTAGTTTAGAGAAGGGCTGTGTGAAGCATTGAAGTGAGCTTTGATCGTTTCAAGCAAAGTCGAAGTGCTTTGAAACCAATGTTAATGCGGAGGGGGTAAACACGGGAGAGTGAAAAGTTGCTTGCGCGTCTTGCTAGTTGACTTATAGTGGGTACGGCAAGTAAATTGTTAACAGGGGCAAACAGCAAGAGGCTAGTGTGAACGATGGAGAACCTTAAAGTGAAGGAACTCATCGAAATTTGTGAGGAACTCGGCATTACTTTGGGCCGTGCGAAACGAAAGCAAGCGATCCTTGAGATCATGAAGGATGAGGGAGTGTCGGCTGAGGAAGTCGATGAGGCCTGGGTTGATATTAAAGCACGCCGTGAGGAGGCTGAAAGGCGAGAAGTAGAAGCTCGCGAAGAAGCTGAAAGGCGCGAAGCTCGCGAAGAAGCTGAAAGGCGCGAAGCTCGCGAACGGGAAGAAGCTGAAAGGCGCGAAGCTCGCGAAGAAGCTGAAAGGCGCGAAGCTCGCGAACGTGAAGAAGCTGAAAGGCGCGAACGTCGCGAGGAGGCCGAGAGACAGGAGCGTCTCGAGTGTAAACGACTAGAATTGGCAATCCTACAGTGTTCGCAGGCGCCTAGCGTAGCTTCTCAAACAGCTCAGGTCAGCGGTTTTAGAATTCGGGACCAACTGCCACCGTTCGTAGTAGGCGAGGACATGGCGAAGTACCTCGTCAAGTTTGAACACGTCTGTGAGCGAAACGCTTTGGAGCGGTCTCTTTGGGCGCAGAACCTGTTAGCTCTTCTTCCCGGCGAAGTGTCCGATGCATTAACTTGCTTGTCTAGGGAAGCGTTTGAGAGCTATGACGAGGTTAAGGAAGTGCTCTTGAGACGTTACAAGTTGTCACCCGAAGCTTTCAGGCAAAGGTTCCGGTATGCTGAAAAGGGGAATGAGTCACACGTTGACTTCGCGTTTCGTCTTAAAGCCGATTTAATTGAATGGCTCAAGGGCGAAGGTGTTTATGACGACCGCGATAAAGTGGTGGAATGCGTTGCATTGGAGCAATTCTACCGCTGCATCGAGGATAATGTCAGGCTTTGGCTGCAGGACAGACTTGGTGAAGTACAGCTAAACAAGGCAGCAGAGTTAGCTGAGGAGTATTATACTCGTCGAAAGTTGCACAGCAGGGCAGTGCGCGTTGAAAAGAATGAGAGAAAAGAGGGCTTTTCAAAGAAACCTGATCAACGGAGACCCGCTCCGCACCGTAATTTCAAGAAGGACCCGTCTCTTACGAAGGACAGTGTAGGGGAAGGGCAAACAGAAGCGGAGAAATCGAGTGAGGTTTCTACCACACAAGCATTTGAATCGGAAAACAAACGGAAGCCGCTAATCTGCTACAACTGCAAAAAGGAAGGACACATCGCGAGAAACTGTCAGGAAAAGTTTGCCTTCGCAACAATCCGAGAATCAGAAAAAAACATGCGGTTGTTGGAGCCGTATCTCCAAGAAATTAGGGTCAATGAGAAAACGTGCCGAGCACTTAGAGACTCAGCGGCAACCATGGACGTTGTCCATCCTTCATTGGTGTCTCCGGATGACTTCACAGGAGAATGCGCGTGGATCAGGCAAGTCGCCGAGGTGCAGAGTGTTCGCTTACCAATCGCCACGGTTGTCATTGAAGGCCCGTTCGGTAAGCTTCGCACCGAAGCAGCTGTGTCTGCCGCGCTAAATGATCGTTTTCCATATCTTTTCTCCAACAACTCAGAGCAGCTTCTCAAAGAGCAGGGCAAATCGTTCTTCCCCAACTTAGCGTGCATGGCCCTCACGCGATCGCAAGCGCGAAAGCTTTCGCAGGAGCTTGATCTGGTTCAATGCGGTGAACGCTCAAGTGACCTTGTCGGCGGGTCGACGGAACCTCAGAGAGGAAATTTTCCGCGTGAGTCATGTGAGCAGTCACGCGAGCGGCCCGTCGCGGAAGCGGCCGGCGCGGTATGCGTTGGGGGAGACGACATGGCGCCATTGAATCAGAGCGAGGGGGCTGCAACGCTCTCGCCTGTAGCGGAAAGTTGGAGCGAGCTGCCGAGAGTTGATCGAGAGACGCTCATTCGAGAGCAGCGTGAGGATCTCTCGATTGAAGTGCTAGTGGAAAGCCAAATTGAAGCGCTAGTGGAAAGCCAGAAAAACGCGGCAAAAGTGCTGTCGAAGGAGCACTACGAGGAATCGGGGAAGAAGCGTGCTTTTGAAGTAGGGAGTCAGGTAATGCTGCTGCAGCCGTACAAAAGGAACAAGCTTGAGGTTGATTGGGAAGGGCCCACAAAAGTAGTATCGAAGCTTTCTGATACCAATTGTGGATTTAAATTAAGAAGGCGGCCGAACAAAGTTTATCACAGTAACTTGAAAGCAGTCGTAAATTTACTTTTAAGTGCTTCGGAGGAAGAGGAAGCAGAAATTTTTAGTTCTAGTGAGATAATCGAAAGGAAATCGGAAGTAATCTGGGAACAGATAAACCTAGAGCCTAGCTTAAGTGAAGGAGAACCTGAGAAAGAGGACCTGAGAAAGATTGGTTCCGAGTTTGAAGACGTGTTTTCGGACCGCCCCGGAAACACGAGGGTGATCGAACACGATATCGAGCTAAGCGGTGAGGAGTCAATCCGTAGCAAGCCGTATCGTTGTTCCCCTGTGCAACGTCGAAAGTGTGAGCCGCTCTTGGTGCCGCATAGGTATCGTCGCCTAAAAGTGGCTGGTTACTGAGGTGGAGCACGTTGCTCCACAGCGCAACTTTGACGTTCGCTAAAAAAAAGGGGGGGGGGGGGGCTAAACGCTAATGGAGGTGCATTGAGCAGTGCGTTCTAGCTAGTACCTTCTCAACCTTTCGGTTTCTGGCTGGCGATTCGGGGCAAAATTTTGGCCTCATCACGACCTGGGCTGAGCGCTCTCGTTCAGAGTGATCTCAAGGGGCCAGCTTTATGTGGTATTCTAATTCGTTGCGTTGTTGTAAGTGTGAAAAATTCAAGTTCTTACTTAAGAGTCTTGTGTCCCACATGTGCCTCTTGATGTAGAGGGAACAAAATTCTGATAGACACGTAGATAGGTATATGTTGTACTATACTTTGTCTGGTGTTCTGTCGGGTGACCGAAGGCACTTGCGTGTGTCGTGTGTTGTCTGTTGTCGATCCGTTCTTGGCAAGTTGCAGAACCATCGACAAGTGCTGAAACCGAAGATGGTCAGAAGAGACGAGTGAAGCTGGTCAGCAAGTTGTGGCGACAAGCCAGTGGAGCTGGGATCCGTCGTCAAAAATGGGATGTGTTCCCGGAACAGTCTGGAGCTGTAGTCTCCCCATGGCCCTGGAGGCGAACCTGGAGGGACCTGGCGAACGAGCGCACCTGACATCCGAGCCCCGTGGAAGCAGCTCGTCTTTCCGGTGCATTGTCTGGCGGCGGGGGTGCTGTTATGCCAGCGAGTCCTCGTCAAACGACCGTGCCTCTGAAAAAGGCAATCGGGGTCAAGGCCAGCCCGCAGTCTGCCTGGCGCGATCAACTCGACGGAGTGAACACGCGCGGCGCCTCCCTGGCCCACGTGCATTGAGTCAGCTGCGCGCGTGACAGCGAGCCGGCGTCCGCGTGTCTGGTGGTCTGACGCATGGCGCGGCGACCCCCATTGGCGGAATCTGCCCTGACGACCAGCGGCGCTTCTGATTGGACATTTTGGTCGGACCCGGTGTAAATAAAAGAAGCCCTGCGGCGCGTCGCGATCGGCGGTCCTATGAGAGAGGAGTCCCCGTGTCGGAGAGTCGACATGTGTGTGAGTCAGCGGTCTTAGGCGAAAGGCTGACCTATGTGTTAGAGAGGAGAGCTCGGCTCTTCGAGTCTCTGTCGGCCCCAGTGCCGAAATTGTAACGCCTCTGTATATATGCTGTACATAAACCTTGTTTAACTCACCGTCGTCTCGTCCGCTCGTCTTATCAGCTCTGCGCAGAAGCAGTCGCGAGCTGATAAACATACGCTACCAAACGGCTGGTGACCTTCCCGGCGGAGTTGGAAGGAGTGGCGCCTTCGGGGGCCGTGTTGGCGTCGCCGTCTTTCGCAACAGTGGTGGCTTCGGCGGGATCGGTCCGTCGTTCGCAACAGTGTAGGTCAGCGGTGGGATTCGGAGGTGGCTTCACAACAGAACCCCAAAACTCTGTATTTTTTTCATTTCCTTCTCTCTTTCTACGTTAAGAAACAGTTACTACTAAAGTTAGTTCTGCGAGTGCACGAGATTGTGCAATGAGAGTTTTTGATGCCCGTTAGCACTTCACTTGTGCCGCTCTGCATTTTTTTTCTACTGACGTCCCCTTCATTTATAGTATTACAGCAAACAATGTACGACCCATAGTTAGCAACATCGGTTGTATGCCGCATCCCTTTCGAGGCTTTTTACTTCTCTCTCTTTCTCATTCTATCTGTTTTCAAAATACGTTTTTAGCAACATTAGAAAAGGCTAAGCGTCCTCCGTTTTTGCAAAGGCGGTTTGGTGAAAGATGCGGCTGTGCACTGCCTGGTGAGCTCGTTTGTCGCTGCAATGCCGCTGTGCAATCGGTCTGGCGAGTCGCCAGCTGTCGTAAAGCAATGGCGCTAACTGTCGACCTTTTCTTTTCCTGTCGCAGGGATCTGAGCCGAAACAACTTGACATTCCTCGACGCGGCCGCTTTCGCCGACTTCCCGGGACTGAAAGAACTGTGAGTATATATCGCTCTTGTCCAATGGTGAGAAGAAGGAGGGGGAGCACCTCGTAATTGGATGCTGTCTACCAATGTCCCAGCAGCCAGCTCTATACTCAGACGCTCTGTCACACAGCGGCATACGATACGGTCGTTACTGTGATCGCCTCCAAAGACAAACTGTTTCGCGTCGGCTCCAACGTTCAAATAGCGGACTTTGCGAGGACGGCGGCGTTATTGACGCGCTGTGCGATACGCCAAGGGAGCGATTGAACTGATCTAAGTTTAAAAAATTATTGTTCCGGTTGGGAAAGAAGCACCGGGTTTAATGCAGCTTTGACGTTGATTTACTAGAAATTGCCTAAACAAGAAGCAGTTCATAGAAAATTGAGACTAGTAGCGCCGAAAAAAAAAGTTGTACAGGAAGTATCACTCAAGGCGACATTTGAACGGCTGGGTTTGTCTTCGTCATGGCATCACTGTACCTTCAAGGCTTCCTCAGAAGTGTACTTGTATGTGCTTTCCTTAGTCTCCACAAACTCAGTGGAAGAAAAGAATTTTCCAGCCGTTGCGATGACTTACGGTGAGTGATGGTCCCGAAAAAGTGCTTTTATAAACACTGTGCTCTATGAAGTGCCGCCCTGATGGAGGCCTGTTCACTTGTCGGAACATTGGCCATTTCCTTCTGAAGTATATTAGAATTTATTTACCCACTGTCCACCCGTAACGCTGTGAGCAAACAAAACTATTGATAATCTTGGTAGCTTTACCACTCAACAACTGTCGTTTAATTTAATGTTGTCGTATCATTAGCTTGCGTTGCAACTCTGGAATATAGTGTGCAGCATTTGTAGAATTGCTTTACTCCTTCAATCGTTTGCTAAAGGCTTTCATTTACACTGACATATGTCGTAAAAGCCATACTAGCGCGGTATTTAACTCGGACTATCTAGGCACCTAAAATAGCTGGGTCATTAGTGAGAAGCGACTTGTAATCCTCGATTTTACTATTGTTTTAATTACCCCTCCCCCTCTGAAATACATGAGGCACACAGATGGTAAAATAAATAAAAATAGAAACTGACTAGGAATCCAGACCTTCGAAGTATTTGAATGTAATATTCGGAAGCTAAACGACATGAGAAAATGAGCAAAGCTTTAGGATTGCTTAGCTTACATAGAAACATTCCTCCACGTTCCTTTGGGAACGACCAACGGTATTGAGTGTAGGAGAACTTTTTAGTGATGAGAGCACTAGGAAGTCTGTGAGAAACCCATTTCTCAAGTCTCAATACATCAGTTCAGTGCGCCGGGGATCACTTTTTTATTTATGGGCTTTTAGACTTTGCGGGTAGGCTATAAAAATATATATCAAGAGGACGATGGTGGAGAGCTGCATTGCCAAGCTCAGACTTCCAGCATCAACTCTGAGTGATACAACGAGCCTGGTAGGCTACCGGAGACAGGGTATCTGCACTGCTTCTGGCGTATAGCCTAGAGCCAGGCTCTCACTTTGCTGGATATTCAATAAACGTTTCTCACTCACTCAATCACAGTAAACGGGAAATCGAAATCCAACTTTTGAACTTTATATTCGCCTAGAAACTTTGAAATTAAAGATTTTCTTTCGGCTTTAACACGCACGGCGGTCAAATCAAAGCTCAAGTCTGAAAGCTCACCTAAACTGGGAATCGAGCTTTAGATAAAGAACGAAAAGCCCGGTACGACCACTATGTGCTCAGAGGAGTGAGCTTTTGCTACAGCACAGAACGTGAAGGAGGAAGGGCAATGCCCGCAGAGGCGGTAGTGAGGAGGCAAAAGAGTCCGCAAATCCACTTGGCAGTCGGAACAAGACAAGTGCATTTGTTGGTCACTCACCTCCTCTGCGGCACGACCTTTCTTCTGCCGTGGCAATGACTTACTGCGAGTCATGATCCAAGGCACGTGCTTTATTGGCGCTATGCTTATCTACTTTCTCTTTCGTTCCTCTCTCTCACTCTGTTTCACTACCATCGCGTCCAGCATTTCGATTAAGCGAGCTCGGAGTATGCCATTCCCCTGAATAGGCACCCCAAACGAAAGGAAATCATACGAGCAGTCTTTCCTAGACCTTCCCTCGTGCGTCGCATTTCTTCCATCTCTGAATCGTTTCCATTGTAGTCACATCGCAGGGCGCAGCTTCTGCGAGAGGGATTTATGTTGTTTCTCTTCGTGATTGGGCACTTTTATTACTTGGCCGCAAGGCCCTCACTGCTTCGTCTTGCGGTCCCCTTCCACGTCCTGTTGATCCGAAGTGCGCTTGAGAGGCCGTTACTGTAAGGAACGACTCGCACTGCTGGATAGAAGTGTGATGCTGATAGAGGATTCCCCGAGATGGTTTCCTCTGGCGGAGCTGCCGCTGCTCCGCGATTTTAGTTGCTGTACTTCTGGTCCTATATCTTCTTGCCGCGTCGCCAGAGGGCGGTCGTTCATATCGTCATCGCTTCCGATAGAAACAAAGAGACGGAGGAGAGTGTCGCCCGCCACGTCGCCTCCTCGGAGCAGCGACTGCACAGTTCCCCATTTGAGACGTCGCAAACAGTCGTTTGTCTCCATTTCCATCAGGTCGAGGACCTCCGAAGTTCTTGTCGATTCCGCAGCGGTACCCGTCCCCTTGCCACACGAAGTCCAGGTCCCGTTCTTGTGGAATTGCTATCATGACACTGCATTTGGGCCTTGCTCTTCTTTTCTCCTTCCTCCATCTGTCTCTCCCGTGCGTCTGCTCATAAGGTTGATGTTATATCTGTAATTGTTACAGCGCTTGTTGGTCGCTTCATCTTGCGATCTGTTCACTCTGTTGGCTTCGATTTTGTTGCATTCTTTTTTTTTTTGCTGCGAACACACAAGTGAAGTGCGCATAGAGAATGAGCATTGCCGGTGGGCGAAAATACTATATAAAATTAACTACAAAAGTAATCTGTGCTCAGAACACCGGTGGTTGACAATGCCAAGAATGGCGCATATTAACTGCGAACTGTCATCGCGCTATAAGTCTTGATTTAGCTGTTTCCGACAAGCAGTGAAGCTGAATGGACTGCTTTCTATTGTACAGTTTAAAATTACATCTTTTGTCATTTTAGTTAACAGCTCCGTCAAGTATATTAGATTACAACAAATAGGAGTTGGAACGTCACAGTTATTGATTGTTGGAGGCAATGACAGCGGCAATATATCATGATTCATGCATTGGTTTGAGTGCTTTGTTAGGTATTGTTTGGATGTTTTAGCTGTAAGAACCACGACGCTAGCTTCTGCAGTCCCTGATCTGAACTTTCGAGAGGTATAAAAGTGTGTATATGATGATTTTATATTAATATCTTTTTTTTCTGTGCGATGTAAGAAAAGTGAATGCAATATTACGCGGAGGGTGGTACCATTCTATTGCTTTTATTTTTTTAATTTAGTGTGTCGTTCGGGGCTTCAATACTGTCGGTTAAAATAAACAACCTGATTCTCCACATTACTCTACAAATCATTATGCTTTGTATGTGGTTTTATATATCATTGGCTGACTCAAACAGATGCTGTCAATGCTTCTTAACAATAGCAACGATGGCGACGACGATGACCAGTACTACCAGAGCTGCTGCGACTATTAGCACACAATTGTTTTTTCTTTACCTAAGTGGTTGAACACTATTCATTCGTTCTGTGGTCTTTTTTTGTTTGTTCTGAGGAGATGCGGAATTTGTTAGCTGTATAATTTTATTACCGTCGATAACGTGATTGTAGACGTTGTTTTCCGACTAAAGTGCTCAGCGTCTACTCAGTCTTATGCATACTCAGCTCCATAGTGCTACTTTGTGAGAAGTCAAAATAGAAGCTTTCATTCGAGGAAACGCGGCTTGCATTCAAAGAGTGTACCTTTGTATATAAGAATGCTGATAAGACTAAGAGATCTCTGAGATTGTTGAAGCCGCCCTGTTCGCAAGGGCCGCCGATAGCTGTGTAAGCTGCTCGTCGGTGACGCTGGTTGTAAATGAATTGGCCTGTTTGAACGCGGCAGGTTTTTGTGTATCGTGACTGGACCTTTTGTGTACAGATCTATCTATACTATTACTTTTGCAAAATAAACAATCAGTTGAAAGTTATCGCTTGACCTGTCGTCTATATCCCGTCTGTGTGTGTTAACGCTGTGCACATTTTGGTTCATCCAAGACACCTCGAGCACAATGGCTTGGAGTGGCTCCCAGACGACACATTCAAGGGCGCCGGTGGAATCACGTTCTTGTGAGTAACATATTTACCCGAAACAAGAAAAAAAGATGAAAAAAACCTCAGTTTGAATTTCACGCCCCCTCTATGCAATAGAATCCAGTACATAACTTGCCTCATCATAATACAAACAGCTTGGCTGCATACACGGAGTTTCCTAAAGTTAACTAGAGGGGACTCTGGCGCTGCGATCGTTCAGCGACCATGGGAATGAAGGGTAGTACACACATTTGCCTAGTCTTCGTACTTGCGGGCGGCGAATCGTACTTGCGGCTTTGTTTATTGCTGTGTTTCGGTTTTGTTTTGTAGGAAAGAACAAACCCTTTTGAACTTTGTGACCTTATTCAAAACGGTAAGACTAAAAATATAAGGTTGTGAAGCACAAACGCTGAACATTTCCCAATTTATTTTTCGTGAAAAAAAAAAAAAACTCTAAGCCACACGAACACACACGGAGCCAGAAGCAGGCCAGAAGTACAAAGATTAGACTAATGTGTGTACTACCCACCATTCCCATGCTCCTGAAGCGACGTGCGTTGCAGCTCCCATAGACACTAGCGCCAGAGTTCTCTCTAGTGTATATTAGGAAACTCTATGGCTGCATAGATGAATGGATGGATGGATGCTATAAGCGACCCCTTTATAACGGTGCAGTGACATGTGCGATGCGAAGATTGAGAAAGAACGAACGAAAGAAAGAAAGAAAGAAAGAAAGAAAGAAAGAAAGAAAGAAAGAAAGAAAGAAAGAAAGAAAGAAAGAAAGAAAGAAAGAAAGGAATACCATTTTATATGCTGTCTGGGCTTAATGGCTTGTGCACTTCAAATAAATTGATTATGCTATTGTAAAAAAAAAAAACACCATAAATTCACTACCTACCCTAGATTGTGCCCCTTGCTGCAGGATGTCCTCACTTTTGATGACCATTTAATTTTGTCTTTTCTCATTAAATTTATGCGACCGATCCTCAAAATGTCTCTTACCTAATTCTATGGCCGACGTGTTTACCTTTCCATCGTGGTCCCTGAATCTTGAGGCTTTATGTAGGCCCACGCCTAGACGCACAGCTGGGTGGACGTCTCCGCATTCAATCAGCACATGCTCCTTTTTTTTCCTTACGTTTCCCACATTGTTCTCTTGACTTTTACTAAACCTCGCGTTACGAATACGCGTTCTGAGACAACCAGAGCTCGTTTAAATAGTAAAGCGCATAGGAAACATTCATGGGTGCTCTGTCCGGGCCGCGCGCATCGAGGCAGAGTAGCATACGATGCGCTGCTCGGGTGTAAAACAGCAAGCGGAAATCGTTAAGCGAAGCCTGCAGCCCGAAACGAATTTCACGGTAGGCGCGTCTCTCTTTTAGTCGGCCCTGCATGAGAAGGTCGACGTGACACAAGGCGGTGCTCTCCTCTCACTGTGAAGCTAGAAAAAAAAAAGAGATGGCGCACCCTGCATTAAACGTAATCTAGGCTGTTTTAAGAATTGGGAGAACTAGGATAGCTGGTAGAACCATGTACCTGTCTCTACCGGCATTCCCTAATCTCCGAGTGCCCAATTATGGAGCTGGCGTTATCGTTTGCTGACTTCTGTTCGTGATGTTCGTAGCGTCAGCGGTGTGCAAATGTGCTTTCGGGCTCGTCGAGCGAGATGCGTTCGCATTTGCCTGTGGGCGGATGCGATTCTTTCTAATTGAATTAGTGTGCGAACTTTTATTGCAGTAAACAGAACCGAATACCTAAGCAATGTGCTCCATAGATGTCAGAGGCACTGCTATAGCTATCAGTGCTTCGCCTTTAAGGTGAAACTTTGATGTTTCTACAAAACTAAAATGCACGCTTTTCATACCATTGTGAACATTACACCACGAGGCGAGTAGGTTATTCGAAACTAATGTGAACTTTGCAGCGGGAACAACAAGTATTGGAGCTAATGAGTGTCAATGCTTTAGCCTATACCTTAGTAAAAGAAAAGTGTTTGGTCACACGGTTGAACTACGGTGGCCACGGCGTTTCCATAATAGGGTCGTAAATGAAAAATGCTCTACGTAACTTCGTCTCGTTGTGCGCACCGCATATGTGCGTCTGTCACCACTCACAACCCTTACTTATATTTTAATTTTCCATATATACCTCAAATTGGTTGTATTCTTTCCAGGCAAGCTTCTGCGTTATTCACGCAAAACGTTGTCTGTCTGGTTAATGAAAGCAAGTCAGCTTCTCCATCAAGTGGTGGCACTTCCTGTCTGGAATTTAACTACAGCGAATTACTATATGCAAAGTTAAGCAAATGCGGGCTATACTGTTAAAAAAGTTTGCATAAACGGCAAAATTAACGTTGATGCAGGTGAATGCAGCAACAACTCGTTATCAGCTGTTATCTCGGTGCTGTTGCCCGGTACACACATGCCGGCGAAGTGTTGTTACGCGTCGTTCGTGTCTGCTCGTGCAAGTTCAGCAATGCAAGAAGGTTTGCTTGATGCGTCAGAGCACCGGGACCTCGTATCTCTCGTGTTTGCGGGCGTGTCTGTGTATATACGACTCTCGTACCGTAGCTGGAGTGCCTTACCGAGAAAGTGCCGCGGGGAATCGTCGCTTCTCATATATTTCCCCGACAGTATACGCGCCGCCAACAGGAAATACCGAGCCAGCCAGCGTACGCGTTAGCGTGCGGCACAACGCCACGCGTCGTTCGCGCAGTCGGCGCAAACAGGCGTATACTTTGATTCTGAGACACTGTAGCACGCGAGGGAACCGAGGCTTGCGATGAGGCGTGATGACACCCACGAGAAAGGCCCGCTCGTCTACATCCTCATCGCCCGGCTGGGGTGCATTAGGCGCGCGTTCTTCGGCGTGACATTCTATACCACGCGGCGTCATCCTCGACGATATCTGGCAAGCGTCGTCGAGATCCGGAACGCGTCGACGCAACGCCTGGGGACTGCATGGTGGTCAACGGAGGCGCGAGACCAGCCGATTGCGCTGCCGTGGTTTCCAAGCCAACCAGGACTCTGCGAATCGTTACTCGCGCTTACCGTGCTATGCTAAAGACGTGCGGTGTAGGAAAGCTAGTCTGACGGAGAAAGAAACAGTGTTGACGACGTGGAAGGACCTAAAACAGAGAAACGGATTGCGAACATGAAAAAAAAAAAAACTGGTGGCAAAATGCGGTAATGGGAACTGTTGTAGTGTGCGTATAGTATTTGTTGGAGACGGGGGAAGCGCCGGAAGACGCGCAGTGGGGCGCGTGCATAATTTCCTTACTGTAATAGGCAATGGTAATTTGAAATTGTGCAAACCATTGGCCAGGCGCCAACAGCGTACTTGAGTTTATAGGAACGCCTAATGGCTTCCCTCCTTCAGGCCACTGGTCTTGACGCATCGCAATAGAGTCGATCCAAAAAGAGGGAACTGTATATACGCACCTTCTTACAGTATCACCGCGGTTTATCACCTGCATTTTTCCACGTCCCCTTCGCCCAGTGCACAGTATCATTTCACAGCAAACTATTACTCAGTTTAGTCTCTCTGCATTATAAATCAATCAATCAATCAATCAATCAATCAATCAATCAATCAATCAATCAATCAATCAATCAATCAATCAATCAATCAATCAATCAATCAAATAGTCAATCAATCAATTACACAGTCAAACAGTCAATCAATCAATCAACCATTTAGTCAATTAGTCAATGAATCAATCTCATTACTTGGGCATGAATTGCCGGGGATAACCAAGAGTATGCAAATGCATACTTTTGGTTGGAGAACCGTTGGCTGCGTTCAACAGTTTTTTTGAGTTCGCACAACATCAGCCCACAAGCCATGATTAGGCAGTGCAGGTGAGATGCGGTAAATACGTGATGCTTCACAATAACTGAGCATTTTTTTTTCTCCGCAGAAATAGTCACTGTTATACGGTATATATCCAACTTGATAGCCAAGAGGGAACTAGTCATACAGAATTCGGCTCTTGATGAATATATGCAGATGAGATGTCTCATAACTACTTATACTATGTTAATCCAAAGACGTTCACCTCGTCTTAATGGATTTATGACGAGGAATGATGGTTGTGCATCGCTCAGTGCAGATAGGTTCTGCGCAAGATCTATAATAACTTATCTCGCGCATATGAGGAAGACCTTACATTGCCTTTTTGTTCGTAAGTGGTCGCAGTCACTGGTCATACGGCTCTGCTTATCATACGCCATGCATCAAGACAGGCTGAAAATATATTTTATGAAGAACTCTAACGCGAGAAGCTTTTGTCAGTAGGGATCATGAGTCGCGAATGTTCACTACGGCAGAGCTTTGCCGTAGTGAACATTGCGAACTGACGCAGCTGTCGCGTTGACACATATAAAGACGCCCGGGGAAGATCTTTTATTCCGGCAAAATTCCCAGGCACAGATTGGAATGTTATCTCTGTATGTGGTGTAGAGGGGAGCTAAAGTTAACGGGTTTACCGTGACTGCGAGGGTCTGTGATCCGAACCAGCTATTCGAGGAAATAAAGCGGTCACTACAGGTGGCTCATGTGGTGTTAATTTCTGCCCAAGGTGTTAACCACGACTCAAAATTAAAAACAAAATAAAAATGAAAAAACAAACAAGAGAAGACCCAACACAAAAGAAGGAAACTCCTGAAACTATGTTACCTAAACGCATGTACAGCCGATGAAAGTGAAGTGGCACGACAAAGAAAAAAGGCACTCAACCTAAGCCACCTTCTCTTAGAGGTCATTGACTCTTCCACTGCAGTGTTACGACGTCTGGTTTTGTTGTGAATCTCAATTACGTTAAAACGCCAGACAAGGCAGTCGCTACAATGCAGGACGGCATCGTAAAACGCGTCTCTTTTACTGCGCTCGATTGATTTTATCTGCTCCGGCTACCTCTCACTACTTCTCGCGTCGTTTTGCGTTCTAGTTTTTTCGATCTTCCACAAAGTCTGTTAATAAAATACTTTCCTTTTCTGGAGCGGACGCTTTATAAGTATATATTTTTCTCGACAGCTGCAGTGCTGCGTCTAGCTCGCACGGGAGCCGAGCACGGTTCGGCAGACAGGTTTTGCTGGTGCGGCCTGCAGTCTTAACAAAGGGAATCCAATTTGGCGCGAGTGGCGATTCCACTGAAGACGGTCGCTTGCACCGCTTCGTGTTGACGCAAGTGCGCCTCGAGAGGTGCGGGGAACGATGTTCCCGAGATTCAGGCACCTCTTCACATCCCTCAGGGCGTATTCGGGAAGGTCGTCAGTCGTTTGCGAGGAGGGCGCGAAGCGCCCCTCTTGGTTCTTCGGTCCAGACTGCCCGCGTCGCTATATTGCGGTCAACGCAGGGCACATGGACATACAGAGGAAAGGCTAAACGTGAAAATAACTTTACGGATAATCAGAGTTCGTTGGCGTGTATAGATAACCTGTTGAAATCGCGGGTAAAGGAAGGCACACAAAAAGTCGAACAATGCCTTACGCATTTTTTCTAATTCAACTGGAAGCCAAAGTATTCGTCTTCCTTTTCTTCTTACTCGATTAGTATGATCCTGGCTGAAAGGTTTCTGCAACCACTGTGCTCTTACACAGCCTCCGGGATAGGACTTGAAAGCTTTCTGCACCTTATATGTGGTCTTGCATTGCCCTCCGTAACTAAGCGATGATGCCATTTGACGGTGTCATCTGTGTGAAACTACGTGATGTGGTGCCATAGTGACGCGCCACAAATGAAGCCGGGACAAACTTTGCTAGCTGTGACGTCATGACGTGCTCACTTGATGGTGATTGCTTGCATCATATTCGTTTACGCCTGCGGACGCCAACGATCAGTTTTCGCGTTTGATGACGTATTTAAGGATTTCGCCTGGGAACAAGTTTCAAAATTGATACCACCAGGAAAGAAGGCTGGGAAAGCTAAACGAAATAAACAACAAAATTAGAAAAAATGATGTTTCCTGTGAATTCGTAATGTATATCGTTCTTGGGAATGATTAGGTCATTTCTTGGGTCAGCAGCAAAGATTGTGTGCCCGCACTGCTAATTTATTTTCCTTCAGCATCAACCGGGGTATTGGACATTAGTTGAATATAAACTGGAAAGGCTTTGTTTCTTCCGTGCAATTTTCTTCACAGTTTGCTCAGTCTCCGTAATGTCGTGCCTGATTTGCCCGATTCAGTTTCCGAGAATACTTGTTTGCGTGTGATGATGACATCATCACAGTGTGGTTAGGTTTTTATATTTCGCTTGTATTTTTTCCGTGCAGCAGACACGGATTTCGTATTGCAGCTGGGTATTTTGCTTTTTTGTTCATTAAGTTTCAGCCGCATCTTCAGTGAACATATGTTGCGAAATTAAAAAACAAGGTGGCAAAATGCACCGGTGATGTAGAGCGAAATAAGTTTAAAGGTATATGGGGTAAAAAAAAAATGCTGCTTAAACAGCTCGTTTTGCTTCTTCGTGCGGTGTGATGTCAGTTCTTCCTCGATTGACGTCCTGCAGGTCACTGGAGGGCAACGATTTCACCAAGATTCCATGGGACGCCCTCAGAGCATTGCCTGCGCTGGAAACACTGTAAGCGCCTAAAAACTGAATCACGTGACTCTTGTGTCTTGTAATTATATACCACGGGAAGGCACATTTACCAGAAACTATAACGCATCTTAGAATGTGTGCACTGCAAAAGGTATTCTTATAATGCAATGACATTCCAAGAAAGTTCTGGCAAGTTCCGACACTATTTATAGGTGATAACTTCTACCGACTTTCAGTCTCGCACACCAGGACCCACTCATTAAGATAAGGTGAAGCTTTGGTATCTTGGATTCAAGCTCGCTAGAAGTAAAGATCAGTCAGACTCTATCAAACCAAGACTAAGCAAAGCCAGCCTCCAAAGATTTCATTTAGACTCAGGCTAGTAGTTTTATGATGTGTGAATCAGCTAACCGATGTGAAAAGTGTACAAGTAGTAGCAAATGTGTGATTGTCGATTTGAGGTAATTTACGCAAAAGGAAGTATGAAAAATCGAAATATTTTCCGATAGACGCATTGTAACTATCTAGCTCGAGCAGCTGACACCTGAACAACCGCCATCGGCGAATGAATGGGCAGAAAATGGCAGTGAGAGTGGGAACGCATAGAAGGGGACCGTTCAGATATGCACAGAACCGCCCTCTGCCAAAGGAAACACCGGAGTTGGAGGCCAGTGGCGCTCAGCGGTGGTCACGCAACCTGATGCTGCCCTTGAACAGTAGACCGCTGTGTAGGCGCTAGGATGTTATGTCTCGCTCACAGTTCTCTTACGAAAAGACCTCCCGAGTGAGTTAGTGAGCTGGCTTTTCACACCGGCACTGCAGCATGCCTTTTCTTGTATGTCGTCCGTGCGCAGGCACCTCAACAGGAATCACCTGACGGAGGTGGTCCCGGCGGTAGAGCCGTCTTTCCACAGAAAGCTGCGCAAGGTGTGGCTAGACAGCAACCAGCTGTCTCGAGTGCCCGTCCAATGCATCCACTCCCTCCCTGGACTGGAAGCCTTGTAAGTGGTCAGCGGTCAATGATTAAGCTTAAGTATGCACCAAGAGTTGTGTTTTGAGGATAACGAACGTTGACTTTGTGGTCACTCTTTGTCCTTTTGTTTGCGCAGAGGTTTGGGAGAGAATCTCATCGGGGAGCTGAAGGCGCACGCATTCGGAAATGCATCGCGCCTAGAAGTGCTGTAAGTGTGGATCTTACATCGTGTGACCGTTCACGTCGTCTCGTAGAAGATGCTAGCGGGCACACATTACACACGTTCCGGCACTACTTTCTTTAGGGTGCTGGTGGTGTTAAGCTGGAATCATCGAGTAGCCTTTCTATGTCACTACCTTTTGCTCTGAAAATAGCACTGCTGACGATGTTTATCTTCTCCGATTCAACTGTTGTTACTGAATAGCAATGTTGATCACAACATATGTAAAAATAATTGACTTGGCGTAACGTGTATACCAGCCACCGTCGAATTTTCAGAGACCACGGGACTGCAAAAAAAAAAAATCTGAATATTTACGCTGCTTCGGTGGACAGCCCTGAACTTAATTTCCAAGCCTGTTCTAAAGGATGTTATTAAAATGCACTGTACAGTTCTCCCCATGCCCCTGCCCCAGCATAGGGTAGCAAACCAGATATTTGTTTTCAGGTTGATATCCTTGCCTTTCCGCGTCTCCTTTCTCTCTCTCTTTCTCTCGGCTGAGTACAGTAGCGAACTGCTGGAAAGCTCGAAGTTTTTAAGACCTATAGTGGCCTCTAAACTTTTGCCGCAGACTGTATATATCAGCGAGCGAGTGGAAAGCTAGAGTGCCGTAACTTCGCGTACAGCCTGGGAACATTTGTAAACAATAGCCGTTCAGCTCACAGCACTGCTTTGGAAGAAAAACATTCAAACACATATGCAGCTTTTTTAATGGACAGGTGGCTAAATGACGGATTGCACACTCACGTGATAGCTTCTCCTAAGATCCCCGTATAGTCACTGAAAAAGTAAACGTTGTGCTCAAACATACTTGTTTTTGACCATCACTTTCAGAATCCTCCGAAAGAATCATATCAGCGACATTGATCCCCGCGCATTTCACGGCTTGCGGTCTTTGCAGGCGATGTGAGTTCTACATTCGTGTTCCTTCGGTGCTGCGGTTTCGTACTGACGCATTGTAAACGTTTTCCCGCATTCATCTTCGCAGAGATCTTAGCCACAACAAGCTGACTCATCTGCCCATCGCGCTGTCTTCATTAACCATGCTCAAGGAACTGTAAGTAATATACTTACTTTTCATCATCCCATTTCATTGTTTCATCATTTTATCATTCCATCAATTCAATATTTCGCCTGCTTAATAACTAGTATTTTTGGTAGTCTTGAATTTGTAGTAAACGATATCTTTGGTTATATCTTGGTGAGCGAAACAAAGCACAGGCTTACGCATTTCGGGGCTTTTCGTGTTATGATTCTAGGTGACGTTCACTACATTATGTGACGTGGAGACAGGCTCTTTGGAGAAGTTTTATGAGGGTACTGAATTTGTTTTGCTTCGGATGGGACAACCATTGCGCCCTAACCTAATCTCAGTTACCTAAGTTCAGTAACCTAGATGGATTCTGAGCTATTGTGACGTCTCCTCCTTGTCTGTAACTAACACCCCTTTAATCTGCAGTTGACAATCTCCATAAGTGTTCGTTCTCTCCTCATGAAAGATCATTTTCGGCCTCTCCTCGATTTCTATAGATGTGCATCTTTCCGACAGGTACGAGCTGTTTGCACCTGTTTTTTTTGCAGCATTATATCGGACAACCAGATCCGCTTCCTCAACGAGGACTCCTTCCGAAGCAATGGCGGCCTGACGCTGCTCGAGCTGGCCAACAATCCGCTGGAGTCTTTTGACAAAAAGACCTTCTCGCGGCTACCTTATCTCAAAAGGCTGTGAGTGCATCTATAAATTGTTGGATAGCTAATTCATTTTACTTCCGAGTTAACAGAGTGAGTGGAACTAATGAGCTGGGAATCATGGCGATGCGTCTTACTCTGATTGATTGATTGATATGTCGGGTTTAACGTCCCAAAACCACGATACGATTATGAGAGACGCCGTAGTGGAGGGCTGAGGAAAGTTCGACCACTTGGGGTACTTTAACGTGCACCCAAATCTGAGCATACGGGCCTATAGCATTTTCGCCCCATTCGAAACTTAGCAGCCGCAGCCGGGATTCGAATCCCGTGACCTGCGGGTCTGCAGCTGAGTACCTTAGCCACTAAACCACTGCAGGTGGGGCAATGCGTCTTAAACTAACGACCTGCAGAAAAGCTAACTTCAATATGTGAACTGTAACCTTCTGAAACGAGTCCAGAGATGACCAAATAGCCTAAATTTTTTTAGTTTCTTTTATCAATGAACTAAGCGATCTTAAAGAATGAACCAAGTGATGCGGCTAAGTTATTTTGTAGATGCATATAATTCATGATGAGATTACGTTTACCAATGCGCACGTATTGACACTTGCTCGAGGGGAGTTTATTTAGGCCTTTTGTCAGGGAAACGTACTGTCTGTGGTGACCGTGAGTGGCAACTTGCGTCAAACACATAGCTTTACAATGTTTATTAAAAGCCGTACATGCTTACGTAGGGATGCAAATGTCTTCAGCTTCTCGAGGCAAGTGCTGCTGAGCATGAAAACACGAGTTCTATCTCTTAGCGCAGTCATATCCGACCACAGTGAATGGCGGTGAATGCTAAAAATACTGGTAACTGTGATTTCGACGCTAGCTAGTGTAAGAAATCACTAGCGGTAAAATATCTGAGAGAGTCTCCCATTTCGACGTGTTCTGTGACACATTAGTCATTTCGGTATTCTAAGCCGCAGTTAGGATCCTTGACGTCTGAAGCGGTTACGTGAGTAGCTAGCTTTTGGTGCCTCACGCGATCTTATGCGTGTATATAGCTGATGCTCTTTTTGGGTTTTTCCTGGATGCAGAATGGTGAAAGAGGCTCGGGCGCTGGAGCACTTCCCGGACCTGAACGGACCCACTCGTTGGAGCAGATTCGCCTGAGCAGAGCGCGCTTGAGCTCGGTTCCAAACGACCTCTGCCGCGCTGTCCCGAAGCTCAAGATACTGTGAGCACTACGCATTTTTTTGTTGCAATACCAATATTAAGGTAACTCTCTGCTAATTTTTAACCGTCGCCATCATGTTACGTAGAAAGCTCAAATTAATAAAACCTCTCTGCGCAGTCCATGTTTAACCTGCGCGTAATGTTATACGTGCTGTGTGTGTGTGCGTGCGTGAGCGTGTGTGTGTGTGTGTGCGTGAGCGTGTGTGTGTGTGTGTGTGTGTGTGTGTGCGTGCGTGCGTGTGTGTGCGTGCGTGCGTGTGTGTGTGTGTATGTGTGCATGCGCGCGCGCGTGTGTGTAGTTTTCGCGTTTAGTTTTCACGTTTGCGGAAGAATGTGAAGTGTGAGCTATACTCGGCGACAACTTTTCTTGGCACCGAAGCGAAAGCTAAGGAGCCAAATCACGTGCATCCTACCACCAGTGAATGTAGTTCCAAAGTAGCGCCCGTGTTTTTAACGTGAAATATAAATGTTCCTCCTTTATTTATTATGTGAAGCTATTTGACACAGGACGCAGTTCACACCAGTAAGATATTTGTAATGTTTTAAATTTCACCCTTGTGACTTCACGTTTATGAATGCGCGAGAAAGTCTCGCTTTTAGATGCGGAAGCATCTTATACTCGCGCCTTGTAGTGCGCCGTCCGCGCCGTCCGCGCCGTCCGCACCGCTTCTCGAACAATCGACAGCTGACGCGCGCGCATGCGCCGTCGCGCCGTCGCCCACTCTTCCACCATCTGTGCATCCCTTCCTCCTCTGCACACCGCGCGTGCTTCACTCCCATACCATCTGTGCACCCTTCCTCCTCTACACACCGCGCGTGCTTCACTCCTCCACCATCTGTGCACCCTTCCTCCTCTACACACCGCGTTCGACATCTACAATTCTCCTGATTCTCCAGTGGACGCGCATGTGGCGTCGCGCTTCGAGAACATTCAACAGCTGACAGTGCATGCGCCGTCGAGCTGTATATATACTCAAGGTCGGCGCTCGCTCGCTCAGTTGGCGCTCGTCGGTTGGTTTGTACGGCGCGTCGACGTCCAAGGTCGCGGTGAAATGAATTCCAACGAATCCACAAACACAATGATCGACGTCCCTTCGACCAGCGCCGCCCTTTCGCATACGTGTGTACGTGTTCACTCATTTAACACCCCCTCCTACAACCACGTTAACCAATTTAGCCATCGACCCAAGTAAGTCGCAATTTAACACCCCATTTCACAACCACGTTAACCAATTTAGCCATCGACCCAAGTAAGTCGCACTTTAACACCCCGTTAACCAATTATATGCTCCGCATCCTCCTCAGTGTTTCCCCGAGGGAAGCTGCGGGATTTTTTTTACGTGCACTTCAAACACTAATCGGCGTCTGCGTCTACATGAAACGCCGATGGTGCGCCTCCCGTCACTTTCCACAGCGTTACGAGACGCGCGCCATGACGGACTACTTTGCGTAGTGTTGCATGTGCAGAAGCTCCGCCTGCGTAGCTTTCCCTTGCCAAGAAAAGGTGTCGCCGAGTATAAACTTCTCTCGATTCACGGTCGTGCGTATATCGCGTATTACGTTACTATTATCCCAGCATCCTTCGTGCACACTCGTCAAGAAGTGCGGGTGTCTGTGAATATGAAAATCTGTTAATGTTTGAAAACAACAGAAATGTGATTGCCGTTTTTTGTATTGCAAAAATTACCGCTTGACTTTTCTTTTGTAGTTATTGCGTGGTTTTTGTCATCCATGGTGTTAATTGTCGACCAATCATACGGTATCATTAAATGATAAATTTTACTGATCCGACAGCAATGCTCAACGTATAAGACTTAGCAGAGCATGGATTGAAGGCTGAATATAGTAAATGAATTCCCAGAGGGAAGGCGTGCTCACTTGATTCGCAGTTGTGATTCGCATGGGCAAACTGCACAGCAAGCGCCACGGTGCGTACGGAACACACAGAGGCCGCCGAAGAGGCGGCGATTGCTCTTGCACTGGTCGCAGCACCGCAAGGCTGCGGTCGTGATCAGCGACTCGCAAGCTGCCGTCCCGTGGCTTTGCGCGCGGTCGCATATCGTGGCAGGCGGCTTGGACACTTCAATCAAGTTATGGCAGCAGGGATGGTGGCGAGCTTCGAGGAGCGATGGCCTCGACATCGTCGTCCTCGCATTTCAAAACTGAAGATGCGACGGCCTTCCTTCTGTGGACCCCGGCTCACACCAGCGTCCCGCTCGCAGGAAACGAGGTGACCCACACCGCGGCTCGAGGTCTCACTCACCGAGCCGCGGCTGATTCGGTGGCCGCCTCCACCTTTGAGAGCGGAGTGTCTACAATATTATTAACACAACAACAACCTGAATGGTCGTGGTGCGATAGCATGACCACATTAAACGTTATTACGCAACATTACAGGCTAAACACAGACGAAAATACCCGCCACCCCACAACAAATTATACAAAAGTCGGGCCGTAACTCTTAGATTATTGCAAACACACACGTACCCCAGCTCGGCAATCTTACGCCTGTGTTATCATCGCCTATACTCGACGAACGCGTGTAAAGCGTGTGGGGAAAGGGTCACACTGCGGCACATGCATTTGGGAGTGGGCCGGAAATGTTGATATCGCTGCCGCCGCTCACTTCGTGACGCATGTTAGGCAGGGACGAACTCCGAGGCGAATCGTTGCTGCTACCACCACGCGAGGGCAGGGACCCACCGCCGCCGCGGCTGCAGTCACTGCTGCGGATCTTCTGTGTCAGCGTCGCTGCCGCTGGGAGGCGGCACTCACCAGCGACGAAGCTGGCCGACCAGCTTTGGGCCGTCCGGCAAGCCGAAGATGTCCGCCATGGTCCAAGGACTTCAAGCGGTCATTTGAGGCACCGCCACTATTATCGACGGAGAGTGGGAAGGGACAGGGGTTAATCCCCTGTTCCCCCCGCCTTGCCCGAAGGAAACTTCCGGAATTTAACCAAAGTTCATTCATTCATTCATTCATTCATTCATTCATTCATTCATTCGTTCATTCATTCATTCATTTAAAGTCTAGTCTTTGGATGTAAATCTCCATTGGGACATATGGGGACTCCTTTTGTCCTCATGTGATCGCAGTGGATTATGCCACCCATATTTACAGTATACAATATCGTTTATACGAGAAATGATCCGGACTTGCTTCTGAACGTTTTTTTTTTTGTGGGGATCTGTGCATGCGGTTTCTTGCTACAAACGCAATTGACTTTTCTATGAATATTAAGCTGAGCGTAAGATATTCTTTTTCAATGCATACGCATGCTGTTATTTGTACATTCAATTCACGAAACGCACAACCTATTCCATAGCTGAATCTCATTCCTGTTCTGTCTTTCAATCTCGTTGCAGCTACCTCATGTCCAATCATCTCACGCAGGTTCCTAATTTGACTGGCTGCTCAGAGCTCCTCATCTTGTAAGTTAGCTTATTATGTTTGTGGCTATTCTGCTCTGTATAATTACAATTGTCCAGTCAATTCTCCGAAAAAACAATGATGTGCCCGTTCGGAGCAGCTGCACATGAGTGGAGATAAAAAGTCGAAACGTTGATATACCTAAATCTTGGTCGGGTTTCAATAAAACGATATCACCGTCGCGGACGTTTTTGATTCGAAATGTGGATTCGAAAGAAATGGTATGAAACTAAAACTTTCTTATTTTGCTGGCGTCATGAGGGCCCCCGGTCCAATATAGCAAAACATAATGCTAAACAAAGTGAAAGGAAATATAAAGCGACCTTGTCCGTGTATGACATGCTTACAACGTGTACTTCATGTTACACTGAACATCTAGGTGACCTGAGCCTTTTACTGCCGAGTGTTGCAAATTCGCGACATACCGCAAAACTTCGAGGAAGCAAACCAAGAAATGCGTGGCCATCTTTATTGCTGGATGTCAAGTTCTCACTGAGAATAGAGCTTTCAGCGTGAAAAATCTACCACGGCCTCGTCGAAGGTATTTTACGCTGGAACCAATTGTTTTGTAGCTATAGGCGGAGAGCACGAAGCGTGTGCAACAGCTCTCACTTCTTTGTTTTTTTCTGGCGGGGGTGACTCAAGTTGTATTTTCAATAACTTTGTTTATTTGGTGTGTATGCACCCACGAGGCGGCACATCACACGTTACGTAGTTATGAAGTACGTTTTTTGTTCCAAGGTCCCCGCTTCTGTGACATATGGAGAATTCGCGACACACATAAAAGTATGCCTTAAAGTTGCGTCTTGTATAATTTAACTGCGGAATCATTTAAAGGTTGATATTTAAAGCTGAAAAATGAAGACTTTTTATTTTGTTCGCCAGTTTCATAATTCAGGCATTAACCACCACCATCACCACCATGAGAACAACAAAAAAAAGAAAAGAAAGGAAGAAAGAAAGATTCCTAAGTAAAATTATTCCAAATCCAATCATTCTTTTTTGCTCGTATTATTCCAGAAATAACTTTAAACCCATATTACTACATTTGCCAGCGACGTGTCTGATCGTGAGCTTCCTCCCTCGGATTACCTACGGAGAAAGGCGCGGCGCACTTGAAATGTACTATACAAAATCGCGAGAAACGTGGCAGGATTCAAGGCATAAGCAACAATGGTCTCTGTATCAGCAGTGTTTCACAAATATGTGTGTTTAAACGTAGGCATCCATACTTAAACTTTACCGCGTACTGAACACAAGGACAAGTAAGATAGAAACACACGAGTGCTAACTCCCAACTATTTATTTTTGAAAGGAACCAAACATGTATGCACCTAAGAACCAGCATACAGCATGTGGTTCTTGGGTACATATATGTGTAGTTCCTTTCAAAAATAAGTAGATGAAAATTAGCGCTTGCGTGTTTCTATCTTACTGGTCCTTGTGTTCTGTGCGCGCTAAAATGTTTAAATATGAATACATAACAACTCGCCCAGCTACCAGTTTTACTGCTAAATGTGGGCAGTATGATAAAGAGGTGTGGAAATGGAATAACGCTTGTCTTTGTAACTACAGTCGTAGCTGTTTGCTCCGTTGCTGCTACTGGTCCCTCTGTCAGAGCTGGAAAAAACACGTAAAAAATGCTCACCTCCTAGCCTAATTGCTTGGAAGTTCGGATGCCTTGATCCGGAAAACTGTTTCTGCTCTTTTGTAAGAACATCTAGTCAAAAACATCTAGAAACATCTAGTCACTCTCGTGTCTGCTTTTTTTTCTACCTTCTTTTCTTTCTGTCAGGGACCTGACGTACAATCGCATCAAATCGCTCGACGAGTCACCATTCCTGTCACTCAAGAAGCTTCGTGATCTGAACCTTGGCAACAACCTCATTCGCCGCATAGGGGACGCTGCCTTCCACGGGCTCACATCTCTGCAAGTGCTGTGAGTGACGACCTCACTCTGTATCTTTTTTTTTCTTGCAACAATTGGTTAGGAGCACATAGCGCCTGTTCAGTCACGATAGCTGGATGACGAATGACACCATAGGTGATTGCTCGCACGTGAAGAAGGATTTAGAGCCGTAATGAAGTTATATTTCAAGACGGCATCTGCTCCCTTCACCTGTCAATACTACATCATTTTCAGCTATTCGCTGGATAATGGTCACTGCCAATCAGTGTGCTTATCTGAGGGAACAGCGACAATATCCCCTCAGCCGACGTACTCCGTCTAAGTGATTTCTTCTCTTACAGGGCGCTGCAGAAAAATGGCATCAGGGAAATTCATCCGGACTCGTTTGTTCCCACCGTGAAACTTCAAGATCTGTAAGTACTAGAACTGTATGAGTGATCGTAAGTTGAGATATAGTTAGCAGAATATGAATAGGCAACCAGTACAGCCCACAGAGGTAGTTACAAACGATGGACATAAGTTATGTGCATGAGTGCTGCTCCGTGTGAGAGCTACGCTCCACGATGGAAGCATCCAGAGGTACGATCAGAAAGACCGGGCAAGCTCACAAAGTAAGATCCACTTTAAATGCAGCAAGTATGCGTGCGGCTACAAGTACGGGCAGAGAACGTTACCCACCCGTACTTAGTCAAGCATTGTTGTGAAGCTTGCATTGCTGTGACAGGATCTATCGCGAAACGCTATGCCTCACTACCTTCTTTTTCTACCCCCTATTCGCCAACCATAGTGCAGGGTATACCATACCGGATCCTAGCAGGTAGTTAATGTCAGTGCCTTCTTCTTTTCCCCGTTTCTCTTTTAGGGGCGAAACTCCTTATAACGGCACCCGTTCGTCCCCCGTAGTATGTACAAGTATAACATTTTGACCTCCAAGGTGGTGCCGGTGAGAGACTTCTTCTGTGCGTTGTTGAACAATAAAAAATAGTGCTCAATGTACATGCTCAATGGCTGCTAATGGGGAATGAGAGACAGGAGCATTCGGCTTTTAGTTAACGCGCAGGCTGCGATCACCATTAGCAGCCATTGGCATGTACATTGAGCACTATCTGACAAGAAAGGGTTGCTACGTTATACTCGCTGGGTGTAACCTCCTTAGCTTTAGAAAGGTTTAGCGAGCGTTGAGCCGCAGTGCCATGAATACAATGAACTTGTATATACCATGAATGAACTCGAGGTGGTTAAAAATGGGAAGTAGATACGAAGCGCAAGCCGTAAGAAAGTAAAGCCGAATTCTCCGCCTCTCATTTCCCATTAGCAGCCATTGGCATGTACATTGAGCACTATCTGACTGAAGAAGTTTGCTACGTCATACTCGCTGGGCGTAACCTCCTTGGTTTTCGAAAGGTTTAGCGAGCGTTCGGCCGCAGTGCCATGAATACAGTGAACTAGTATATACCATGAACTCGAGGTGGTTAAAGGTGGGAAGTGGACCCGAAGCGCAAGCCGTAAGAAAGTGTGCGTGTGCCACCTCTCGTTTGGTCCTTGGAATGTCCGCTCGATGGCGGTGCTTCTATATGAGGAATATATGATGAAAAGATGCGAGATGGTGGTACTTGGAGTGTTGAATAGATGGACGAACGGACACATAGACAGATGCATGGATGGACGCATGAACGGACGAAGGGGCGGCTGCATGGACGAATGCAGGGACGGACTCACGAATAGACGCACGCACGGACGGGCTGATGGACGCATGGACGGTCACACTGACGGACGCATGGACGGACGGAAGCAAGAACGAATGGACGGACGAATTCTTCGCCCCACTCTCCATCATTCACTCCGTGGATATGCTGCCATTTTTTTTTTCACTACCTGTTTAGATTATGTCACTATGGGGCGCTATGAAATCCGAGTAGCCCACAGTTCACTGAAAGTTTGAGTTTCATGCACACTCATGCATGACATGCACGTGTTAGCAGTGTTATGCTTATTTGGTTCTTTTGGTTTGGCTTATTTCTTTTGGTTCTTTTCACCCTCTCAAAATACCAACGTAAGTGGCAGAACTCAGTGCTCGCTTCCCTTGAGCTCCTGTGTTTTATGCACTTCTGAGTTAAAGAGCTCGTTTTGCAGAAATTCTGGTGTCGGCGCTGTCGGCTATGGGTTAAAAACCAGCGTTGTTCGTGAGCGAATGTTCGAAATAGGTGCGAATAAAGAAATGGTAAAAAAACATTCGAATCGAGTGGGAATCGAACCCAGGACTTCTGCCTGGCGAGCAAATGTTCTACGATAGAGACACTTCTGTTTTCGATAATGCTACGAGAAAAAAAAAGTACATGAATGTTATGTAGTCCGAGGTTCGTCATTAACACATATAATATTGCGTGGCAGAATGTAGAGAAACACCAGGTGTCAAAAAAATGAGAATTGCGCAACGAGTGGTTGGTTCAAAGGCACGCCAATTTACAAAGCACACAGGCAAAATTATCATTATCAACAATTGCCTCAACAACGTGTGCAGCCTGCAGCGCGGGTGCGCGCGTTGCCTCAAGGACGTGGATTGAGTACTTCGCCAACTGGCAAAAAATGAATTACACTGTAGTGAGCATTCTACGAGTGCACTTGCAATATAAGCTAATGTTTCACAGCGCATGGAATGACGAGGACGAACAAAGAGACACAGAGAGTGCTTCTTTGTTCGTCCTCGTGGTTCCATGCGCCGTGAAAAGCTGAATTAGGCGCCGCCAACTAGCCCAACGGTCAACTCCTTGCAGTAGGCATTCTGGGATAGTTTCAAAGGGCCAATGTAAAGGCGCGGAACAGGCTAGTTGTCCACGGAGAAGGGAATCAAAGCTATAGTAGTTGTGAAGGCTATGCGAGCAGGTTCCGATTACACTATCGCGTTCCTCTTCTCAAGGCCAAGATCAAGTGACCTCCAAGTTTTAAAGACGATAGTGTTTCTTGGGATACTTGAATGCAGAAATGTTGGTCTGTCTGTCAGTCCGTCCATCCGCCCTTCTCTCCATCTCTCCGTCCGTCCGTCCGTCCGTCTCCATCTCTCCGTTTCTCCATCTCTCCTTCCGTCCGTCCGTCCGTCCGTCCGTCAGTCTCTCCATCTCTCAGTCCGTCCGTCAGTCTCTCCATCTCTCAGTCCGTCCGTCCGTCCGTTTGTCCGTCCGTCCGTCCGTCCGTCTGTCTGTCTGTCTGTCTGTCTGTCTGTCTGTCTGTCCATACGTCCGTCCGTCCGTCTGTCTGTCTATCTATCTATCTATCACGTGATTCAGCCACCTGGTAAAAGCTTAAGCACTTGCTGAGCGCCCAGTCATCTCAAACTGGTGGCTGCAGAAATTATTCTTGTGAACATAGTCGATCAAAAAGCAGGTAATGTGGATATCTGAGCCGCAATATCAATACGTAAGTATTAGGTAGCGCGTTCCTTTACTGTAATATACATAGATACGCAATTCAAAGAATCTGGTGTTTCTTCGGCTGCACTGAAAGTGTGAGGCAACGCACGAGAGAAGGCCGGCAAAAGACTATCCTCTTTCGACGACATTTGCGAAGCACGCAGATATGCGGTCAATTTTTCGCTTCTCTCCACTCCGCCTTTTTTACTCCGTTCCAGGAACTTGGCGGACAACGCCTTCCCGGCGATGCCGTACCGCGGTCTGCGCGGCCTGCATCGCCTCGTGACGTCGGGCAACCGCCACTTGCGCAGCTTCCCTCCGCCAGAGGCGTTTCCCCGCATCCAGAAGCTGTACCTGTCCTACTCCTACCACTGCTGCGCTTACCTGCAGTCGGTGGGCAGCGGCACGCCCGAGGCACCGGTCGCCAAGGACGCCGTGCTGTGGCTCAAGAAGGAAGACATCGACTATGGACAAGTGGACCAGCCTCAGCAATTCATCCTCGTTGGATGTCTTTCCAGGTGGCGAATGTTATCAATGTACTGTCAACGCGATTTCGAATACCAGTTAGGCCTGGTTGTTTTCGAATACTTATTTCGTTAGTATAGAATGGTAGCGCAGATAGCTTCTAGCCTAATTCAACCACCACATTTACTCGCTTGTTGCCAGCACTTGCTAATGTTGCCTGCTGTAGGCTAGTGTTGGCTGAACGAAAGCTAATAATAGGTAATACTAATAGAGGTTGAGGTGACCATTGTTTTAACAACATTGTTTCAATGCATACTTGTTCAATGATTCACTTGTTCGCCACTTTTTAAAAGCAGCTTCTTCTGCGGGTGAGAACCACCTATGTGAGAATTATTGATACAAGAAAGATTAACTCGCAATTTGCGCAAAATTTTCGAGCAGGACACTCTCTTTGATTTGTACTCAGTGCTCTCATTCCCCATCTAATGGTCCCGCGTTTGTTACTATATGGCACGGATCAATCGTACGTTTGAGCCCCGCTGTTATTTCTTTCTCAGCAAAAAATGCTGTAATCCTTTTACTGACGTAACCAACTTAGACACACTCATGAATGAGCTCATGACGTCGTTGATGTTTGTCGCAACTACAATAAGTGGCGCGAAACACACTGCCGTACTTTTACTGTGCGGTTTAATCTAAATTGTCGCGCCTCTTACACTTGTCCCGCAGAGAGGAAACTTAGGTGAATGAGTTGCGCTAACTTCAGGTGAAACTACCGGTACAGCGTTAAATTTCGTACACAGCCGCTTTTGATATTACTCAATTCGATTCTTACGTGAAGGTATTCGCTACAACAATGCGTCATTTGTATATGCTGTCCGCAGATAACATCACGTCGAAGTTCCAAGAGTTCACTCACCAACTCATCAAGGTGTTCGGCCAGGACTACATCATTCCTGACAACCTGGCCCAGTATTACGGCGAATACCTGGAGGACTACAAGGCTCTCTATACAAGCGACGAGGAATTCCAGTACCCAGTGCAGTGCATTCCGCTACCAAGTGCGTAACTTCGCTGCTGTATGCCATTTTCCTATAAAAACTTGGTGGGCTAAGCCGGATCTTAGTGTGATGCTTCTAACCCAGGTGGCATAGCAGTGTTATGAATTTGGCGTACATTGTAGTAGTTAATGTTGACGGGTTAATGTCAGAGTTTGTGGCAGTATTTAACTAGAGGGAACTCTGGCGCTGCGATCGTACAGCCACAATGGGGAGAATGGGTTACTACACAGGTTTGCCTAGTCCTCGTATTTGCAGGCCTCGAATCGCACTTGTGGCTTTGTTTATTGATGTGTTTTGACGTTTGTTACGTATAAAATAATGGAGCAGAAACGCTGAGCGCATGTTTCTGCTGGAAGGCCAGCACACATGTTACGCTGCTTTTGCCAAAGACGCTTGACATTGTCTTTATGCTGTACCTTCGGGTGGTACGCCCTGACGTGAGATTGAAATGACGCCACACCCTTTCTGTTTTTTATTCGCTGCATACAAGTCGCTTCAGTATATATAAAAAAATTAAACATCATATACGATGCAATTAGCCTCCTGTGCAACCAGCATAAGTGCAGCTGCTGTGGCGTTCAGATGCTTAGCACGACTGCCGGCCACGACGGCTGCATCTCGATGAACGTGAAATGCTAGAAAATGCTCGTTTAAGAGCAACTTCAGAAACCGCTGGTGGTGAAAACGAATGCGAACTCCCCCTACAGAGTTTCGATATTGTGGATTTGACGTGTAAAACTGCAGAAATGAGATAAAATGAATGGTCTCCTGCGTTTGCGTAGGAATATTTGGAAATCAAACTTAGCGTAAACTAACACATTGGAACTGAAATAGGGCTAAGTGCAAGCTTTCTACATAGAAGATTTCAAGCCGTGGACGCTATTTATAGAGCAATATATTGAGCTATGCACTACCGCAGCCCCCTTCATGCCATGCGAGGACCTGTTCGGCTGGTGGACTCTGCGCTGCGGCGTCTGGGTCGTCTTCCTACTTGCCATGCTCGGCAACGGCCTAGTCGTGATCGTGCTCTCGCTAGGTCGATCCAAGATGGACGTGCCGAGGTTCCTCGTGTGCAACCTGGCGCTCGCTGACTTTTTCATGGGCGTCTACCTTGGTTTTCTCGCAGTCGTGGATGCCTCTACGCTTGGCGAGTTTCGAGTGAGCATCGGGAACATTGCCTTATTGTGTACTGCATGCGCGGCAATAGTCTGCTGTTCCTCGTATATATAGTATGTACTCGTATGTATGTATGTATGAATAGTATGTAGTGTATGTATGTATGTATGTATGTATGTATGTATGTATGTATGTATGTATGTATGTATGTATGTATGTATGTATGTATGTATGTATGTATGTATGTATGTATGTATGTATGTATGTATGTATGTATGTATGTATGTATGTATGTATGTATGTATGTATGTATGTATGTATGTATGTATGTATGTATGTATGTATGTATGTATGTATGTATGTATGTATGTATGTATGAATGGAAACCATTGTCTCGAGGCATATCGGAATCGTTACAATGCCGCACTTCCGACTCAGAAGTCTGGAGGCGTATGCTGCTGTTGGTTCAAGCTTGCTTCTCAGATAAAGCTGCCTACTTCAAGTCATCGCACAGATCTCTCTTGATTCTTTGTTAGGATGGTTGCGAGATGCACTTGATTGTTTCTGTTTACGATCACTTCAGGGAAATTAACAGCAACTCTCCGCACCTTTATTCCACTCTTTTGTGAGGCACGCAATATCCTAAAAACACTTATGTACTCGTTGAAAGTACTATGATAATTATACCCCGCTGACCAAGCTGTGGAACTGCTTTTCCAATTTTTAAGGTATATTAGGTGCTTGGAAGTCTGTGCAGATTCCACTTTTTCGCTGTTTTTATTGTAACGTTAACTGCCGTTGGCCGTGATTGTTTTTTGGTTGTACGTTGGTGACCTTCAGTCCTGTGCTCATAACCTGTTTTTGCTTCGAATGTGTGCAGGTGTACGGCATCGGTTGGCAGATGTCACCTGGCTGCCAAACGGCCGGATTCCTCGGTGTGCTCAGCTCCGAGCTCTCAGTGTACACATTGTCGGTGATCACTATGGAACGGAACTACGCAATCACGCATGCCATGCACCTCAACAAGCGCCTTTCACTCAAGCATGCTGGTTACATCATGGGCTGCGGCTGGGCTTTCGCGCTCGTCATGGCGTTACTCCCATTGCTGGGCGTCAGCGACTACCGGAAGTTCGCAGTGTGCTTACCGTTCGAAACAGAGGATTCACCCACGTCACTGGCCTACGTTGTCTTCCTCATTCTAATCAACGGCGTCGCCTTCCTCATCCTCATGGGCTGCTACTTGAAGATGTACTGCGCGATCAGAGGCTCACAGGCGTGGAACTCCAACGACTCTCGAATCGCAAAGCGCATGGCGCTGCTCGTCTTCACCGACTTCCTTTGCTGGGCGCCCATAGCATTCTTCTCTCTCACTGCGGTGGCCGGGCTCCAACTCGTGTCGCTCGAGGAGGCCAAGGTGTTCACTATCTTTGTACTTCCTCTCAACAGCTGCGCTAACCCGTTCCTCTACGCCATATTCACGAAGCAGTTCAAACGTGACTGCGTCCTCATCTGCAAGCGGATCGAGGAGTCCCGCGTGACGCGGGGCATCGGTCGCTGCCGCCACAGCTCGAACTTCTCCAACCGGCACACACTCCTGGGTACCAACTCGGCGGGTGAGCGGCTCACGGACCAGCAGGCGCCCGGACCGCCCTGCCAGTGTGGTCTGGGCAAGGGAACGACTCGGGAGGCGCCCAGTGGCTGGAAGGCGTTCGCGCTTCGCTACCTTCTCTGCCGAGACCCCGACGCCCTCCAGACAGACGTCGACGGCTACAACTACGCGCTGGCACGCATACAGCGCACGATGGAACGCGGCGGACAGCGGGCGTCCAGCATCTCTAGTGAGAACTTCTCGTCGCGTTCGGACAGCTGGCGCCAGGGCAGCATACCACTACGGCTGCTGGGCACTCGCGGAGGTGCTTCCTGGGCTGTAGTAGGCCGCAAAACATCACAGGACTCGAGCCTGTCCTGCAGCAGGCCGGACTCTTCGACATCCACCGTGCGCATGTCGCGGTCGTCCGTCAGTAGCGACGGGACGGCGCGTGGTCCACCCGTCACTAGGGCGGCCGGTGCTGAACCCAGTCGGCTTCTGAGGGCCTCGACGCGCGAAAAGCCGCAACTGTGCAGGCAGTTGGCCGTCGACGACTCGACTAGGGCCGGTGCCGCACCGCCGCCCCGCTCGCCGCCGTACGCGCAACGACGGAGGAGCGATAACCTGTGTCCCGCTTGCTGCCGGAAAGAGGCCTCGCTGCCATTCAAAAGCAAGGAGTTCGAGGAAAAGTTCAACTGCTTCTACAACCGGCTTGCCGAGACCAGCCACGAGGACAGTAGCGAGATGTCAAAGGAAGAGCACGTTGTGCTTTCCACAGATCAGTCGGAGCCGCGCAACTCGGTCAAGGACGACACAACCAACACGTCGCTGCAGAGCGAGTCAGGCCCTAGTGGCGGCGCCCTGCCGAGTACTTCCAAAGCATCGTGTGAATCACCGCCGCGGCAAAAGCAACCGTCATCCGTCTCCGAGGAGCCGAGGAAAAAGAAGCGTGCGCACGGCAAGAAGAAAATGCACATCAGCGTGGACGACATCAGCAGCCAGGGACGCAAGGCCGCTCCGGGTTACTACCAGACAGGCCGCAAGGTCGTGTCCGACAACTCCCTGAAGAAGATGTCGCTTAAGAACTTGCCCCAGTTCCTGCGTTCACTGTCTAGTCACAGCCCTAAGGGCAAGTCGGAGACCAAGGAGCACAGGTTAAAGGTTAGCAGCCAGAGCCACCTGAGACCCAAGTCCTCTGAAAGTTTACCGTGCTCGAAGAGCGACACGCGCATCCACAACCAGGAAGGCGGCTTCCAAGAGTGGAGCCAGCTAGAGCCCATTCCTCACGATGGCAGTGACGCCGACCGCTCGGACTCGAACTCTGAGAACGACGAAGTCTTCATAGAGTTCAGGGCGAGGACTTCCTGCAGCGAGCTCGGGTCGAAGCAGGAATGCTGCGCCCTGCTTATACCGGAAGAACTGAAAGTCGAAGACATCGAAAAATCAATCGAAGACCCACCGATAGGGTCTGTTGCGAAAGGGTCTCCTCTGATGAGCAGCCCTACTACTGAAACAGATGAGCATTGATCGCACCTATCTGTATATTATTGGACACACCTGATGTGATGATGTCTGCCACAGTCATCGGATACCTCGTCGCATAACTAAGTAAGTGGGTGGATTTTGGCTTGGAGCGAAGACCAACCGACACAATCGATTCGTTTTTAACGTACTATGATCTTGACAGTTTTTCGCCACGCTAACTAAATGATGTATATCAGAGCGTGGAGATATTCTGCAGTGCATTACGAACTTTTTGTACACGCGTCTGGGTGTTTTTTTTTCTTCTTATGGACGCAGATTGGCAGTGCGACTGAGGCATTTTAACATGGCGTGGTAGAATTTCGCAAAGCAGTCTACGAGGATTGTACCTGAATCCTTCAGTAACTCCGCAGCATCTTATAGCGTCTTCAGAGAACTGTGATTTGATTCCAGTTATTTAGGAGTAGATAAACTGCATTAAATAGCAAGAGCCAGTTAGCCAGTTCGCCAGCTTTAGGTGTAGGTGTGCCTCTGCAAATAAGCACGTTAGACTTCGCTGAAAACTGCACGCGTGTTTTTTTTTTAAATAACGTTATCGGCCATAATTCGTCCTCAATGAAGTGTTACATGATATTTTGTACCGCTAGTTTGGTATCCGGCAATTTTATATCGTGAAATCGTTTCGATGATGCGGATCAAGAAACTACCCCTGAAAGCCTCCTTCAGAACCGATATGCTGTTTCACATTAAAAATTTCTCGATTAAAACATTTTCTCAGCCGAGACTAAGCAAGTGAGATGAACTTATGGTATCTCTACAGCAAAAAAAAAAAAAAAACTGATGATGACAGAATACTTTGTTTAGACTTGCAGAAGCCTGAATAAATCGATGTCCGCGTCTTCGATGGTTTATTAAGCACAGACGTGCTCGCTTTCAATCTAAAGTACGCTGCCTTCTTTGACGTCGATGTCTTTGCTTTCTTTCTTTTTTACAGAGCTGAGACTCGAGCATCATTCCATGCAGACAACTCCATGTATATATAGCACGGCATGCTGTCTGTATACGCTCATTTCACCGGGGTGACATATGCATTCATAACTGGACACCGGGAAAGCTTTTATTTATTTGTGCCTCGTGAAACACGTTTACACTTTTCATTGCCCACTTTGCGTGTAAAGGATTACAAAATAGATTATTTGATGGCGTGGGCACAGATTTCGACATTCGCGGAGACCACACGCCGCATTAGGAAGCCTGCCTGGCATGACATTTGCTATTGGTTCGCTGGCGCATTAAAGAGTTGTGTATTTATTTGCCGAAAGTTGTCGTAGCTCATGCACCAGTCAGTCGTAAACGAGTTGGTTTCGAGGTAAATGTTTTATGTAAATCTGCAACGCACTCGCATTGTTTGAACGCGCGTTGGAACTTGCTTGATAAAACGATGAACCGAAGCAATTCAGTCGTAAGAGTTTGAACAAGCTGCACGTTGAACGGACGATAAATTCAGGTTCTTTATGCGCAGGTTGATTTATGCTGTGGCGTTAAATGATCTCCGGAAACTTGAGACTGTCGGCACGTTTCCTAATGACGTAATGCAATGAGAAACCAATTGTTTGTTGTGACGTGACAAGAACTGCCTGCTGCGAAGTGATGGTGCTGGACGTTTACATTATTGAAGTGGAACTTGCTTTTCACGTTGCCGCACTGAATGGCCTCTTGTGTCTGTGTAAAAAGACTGCCACGGGTGTACAGGTGTTCGCTTGATTTTGTATTTGCACGAATACTTTTCAATGAGCAAACTCGCATTGAAGAAGGTGTGTTGTAATGATTCATGATGATGGAATCATTTGTCTGGGCTTTGCATGTCCGTCTACTCTGTCTTTGTCGTCTAGCTTCTCGACACCGCTGTAATACATACATTTTGAGCACGCATCGTCACCAGAAACGTAGTGTGCCAGAGTAAATGGTTTTCTATAAGAAGGAAGTAGAAATTGTCCGGCGTAATGTGCGTCAAGCTCCTCGCAAGCGTCTTAATTGTTAAAGGCGTTGACTGATGGGGTGTCAGTGAACCTGGAAGCGTGCTCGTATCAGGTTTGTCTTGGACTGAGTAACCCGATTGTATTCAGAAGTCATCACCACTGCAATTATATTGTATACTTGGTCACTATGCTTGCATATAGCGCTAAGTTCTTGTAAAATAATAAAACTAAGTTAGCGGTTATCATTGCACATGCTTTCTTTATTAGCACAATCATAAAAAATTAAGCAGTGGGCGCTAAGACTGGTAACGCTTGATTCAGTAAATAGACGCACCTCAGTGGTGAACAGCAGCATATTATTTGCTTTCTGTAATGGTTGGAATGATTCCAGGAAAACAGTTCCGATGTTGTACACGAATCACACCAAGCTGAACGATCTGAGGCCCAACAAACGGCGTTCAGCTCTCCCATAGTAGAGTAGCGAGTGCTCCTAAACCGTTAAACCACTCTTTCTGAAACACGCAAACTGTCATTGTCTCAAGAACGATAGACCTCCCCGCTCTTTTCGCGCACTTTGAAATGTTTCGGTATGAGTCGTGCCTGTCTATTAGTTTGCAAGGTTTTCCAAGTAATCAGTGAATGACACACGCTCCGCAAGCCGGAAATCAATCGTCGGCTAAGGTTAACCATTCCTGATGAGTATCCAGCTCTGCTCATTTTCAATAACTGGTAATTATGTATGAAGATTGAAAGCTGGGCGAATTGGTGGCAATACTTGAACATATTGACACGAGGGAAGAAGGTACAAACCACAGCGCTCACTTTCAGCGTGGCGGTTTGTCCATTTTCATGTCCGCTTAGTGGTGCGCTGTGTTACAGTATGCTCAAGATCCGGTATTCAATCGCATGCTCACGTTCCTTTCTTATTGTCCTATTTGACGTTGAACAATACGTAGGTTTACAAAAGATACTCTAGATGTGGCTATTAATAGCTAAACTGAGAATGTATCTGTGTTTAGAAAAATAACGATTTAGAGTACTAGGTACTCTACTATGGGAGAGCATAAAGCCGTCCCTTGGTTCCAGACTCGGGACATTTAACAAACGTTTTGACAACGCCCATTTGGCAATCCTTTTTCAGGAACCGTTGGCTCCGACGGCAGCCTCAATTCTAGCACTGTTCACTTTTTTGTGCCTGGGGGTTTAGTTTTTCATCAGTATTATATGCCGCTTCCGGGATTAGTAACAAGCATTGATGTAAAGTTCGCTAAAATCGTATTGTGTTTCGCATGGCTGTTTTTATCTCTTTCGTCTTTGGTATTACTGTATTTCCGGCCTAGGGTACCACTCCGAGTAGTAAGAGTAATCTAATGCGACAAAAGTACGGACGTTCTTTTCACGTCGCCAAGTAACCGAGAGCACAGAAAACAGCCAACCGATGTGCAGTACTTTCAGCCTCCTTGCACACTCTAGCGATGCCGTTTATCAGGATTTAGTGACTTCTTACGCTATTCGAATAATTTGAAAACGAAATTTTCACTCATGTGATCTAGATTTGAGTGCACACCCGCGACCAACCTCTTACTGGCTTCCACTCTATTTTTGCTATATGCGTTAGATGCATCCCATATGACACAGCAAGGCAAAACTAGAGAGGGCCACAAACAAAAGATGTGCAGTTTGCTCATTTGAACATGACTATGGCGCTTTGAATGAAGTGCCGCCTCGCTGCTTGAAAGGTTTTGTGTCTTGGTTAACGTGCTTTCGATAATATGCAACTGTAACACTATAGCCGCTGGCTCGTTTCCATAGTTACGTTGGGTTTGCAAGAGCGCATGAAAAAGTTCAGTTATGTAAACCTATTTTTCTTTTACATGGACTTTAATGTAGAGATTTCCACGCGAAGTGTATGTGCTAACGTTCTTATAAAGGTTCGAGCGGCTATATTTACTAGTTTTTTTTTTCACCTTGAGTCCACTAACTGCTATACGAATACGGTTGCTTAAATGAACGAGTAATACTAAAAAAATTAGGGACAACCGTAGCGCAGAATAATCGGTAGTTTTTACTAAAGTTGAAGTGACAGCTTGAGCACTTAAGCGCCAATACGCGTAACTTCTGAACTGACACACTGAGTCTTATGGTCGCGGAGGGCCCAGCGTAGGGGCCCGCCACGAAAAAGAAGGCATTGCACCGTGCTCCCGACCGGACTGCAGAAATTAGGTGCCTTTCTCCTCTTCTAAACACTACCACCACCCCCACAAAGAAAGATGACAAAGAGAAGAAAAAAAGGAAATATTGACAGTAATTTCACTGCAGCGTGTAGAACTCCACCGCAAGTCAGAGGCGTTCACACAAACCCGTCTTTATCAAGAAACCCAATAGGGCTTTCACTGCCTTGTGGGTTGTCGAGGGATGTGGACTCTGCTGTAATAGCACCTGCATAGAAAGAGGCCGATCATCCAGTCACCGAATAGCGTTAGCAAGTACTTGTCTTGAGTCAGTAGTGGAAGCACCCAGATCATAACATCAGTTGTGCGTCCTACGTGTTTTCTGTCTTCATCTGACTGTGCGCATGGAAGATGTGGCGTCACACTGCGCACAAACCGGCGCAGCCAGCGTCACTCGACCGCATGATGCATCGCGCGTCCGATAAAGGACAGCGCCCCCACAGTTTCACCGGAGGCTTACGTCACCGCTGGTTGTTATAAAACGCAAGCTGTCAAGCTGGGTTTCGTGATTGTTTCTTTAACCGTTTGAACGCAGCATCGGCATGCGTGCCGTGCTGCTGCTAACACGTTAATAAACGATCGTTACGTTCTATGTTGAGATCCGTGCTTAATCGACCCGGCATCCCACATCTGGTGACCCAGACGTGATCCGAACACACAACCTTCTGAAGAACGCGCTTGCGGTGGCGCTGTCCCTTATCGGACGCGCGGTGCAACATGCGGTCGAGTCACGCTGGCTGCGCTGGTTTGTGCGCAGTGTGTCGCCACAAACTTATGGTTATGGTATACCAGTACGCCCGAACTATCACAGCTGTGAGCCATCTATTAGGATGGCCAGCGTACGAGTTTCAAGTTTGTGCGTATGTTCGTGCAAGCTGTACAATGCACTAAACAAGAAAAAGTGAGGGGTGCTTCATAATGGCGTTTATCTGCTGCATGACAACGCTGGCAACGCTCCAATTCACACGGCGATAGTTGGAGAGGCTGCAGCGAAAGATCGCAGTTTCGAGGAGGTCGATAACCCTACACTATCGCCTATACACCTGGCCCCCAGCGGCTACTTCATTTTATCAAAGCCGAAGAAGGATGTACGAGGCAGAAACAAACAAAAAAGTTACTGGTGATGGTGACGTGAAAAATACGTTCCGTGGACATTTTGAAGGCAAAAAGTCTAGTCTAGTTCATAAGGTGAACACGAATGTTACTTCAGAGGTGTAAAAATGTATTGCGGTTATGGAAGATTATTTTGTAAAGTCACACAGTTGTAATATTTCAATCGCTGTAAATATTTGCTCACGCTACAAACTAATAAGAATTGCCCTAGGTTTAGGCGCAATGCGAAACTACCATAATACAATCGACAGTTCCCACATTTTTTATGTAATATTTCAGATAACAGGGCCAAGCCACACAGAAGTTCCGCAAGATAAACCGGGAAACGTTGGCAGTGTATACAGCCATTCACTCACATGAAACTAATATGAACCCTTCGGTCAAAGTATTTGCAATGCCATACTCAGAGAACCATCCTGTTTGAGTCACTGAGTCGCGATGGTGGGATGTTTGTATCAAGTATTTCAAAAGCGTTGATGATTGCCGACCCTAGCATTGGAAGCCTAACCATGACATTTACAGTGTGCGAATAATGACACTACATGACAATGATACGCTCGTAATTATCACTTACCATTATGACACAGTATGCAAAAAATGATGCCTTTCGTCTGACAACCACACAACACTAGACGCTAATGTTTTTCATTATTTTCTCTAATGAAGACTGAATTTATCATCTCTCATTTCAAGCACTGCTATCGCGTGGCTGTCACTGTTTTTTTTCTTTTGTTTGCTTGGGGGGAAGGGGAGCCATCACATTTGTGATTCTTTTTCAGGATATGTTCGCGACAAGATCGATGTTGTTTTCCTCGTCAATTCATCTGTACACTGCAACTACACTGTAGTGGTGCCGAAGTCGAATTTGACGTAACTTCATCGAAACCGTCGCGCTGATCGCCATTTGTAAACTGATTCACTCACTTACATACATACTGCATTTCTCGGCGCACAAGCTACGTCTGAGCAAGCGCTTTCTCAGCTGATGGCGACTGAGTAAATGTGACAAAGCTTCGCCGTTTGGCGTTTGTTTCAACAATTACCTTAGAGTTGCAGAGGAGGCAAGCGCAATATAAGTTAATCTGCGCGACTAGGACTTTGGAAATGCTTTCTGGTAAATCAGGCTTTCTCTCTGTCTGTCGTAGAACCAATGTCATAACGGTGGCAAGGTTTTTCGGTGCTGGGCTCTGTGCTTGACAATGAAACGTCAGCGTGTGTGTTGGACTGTGATATAACGCGCGAACATATTGCCATTATACACTATTGTATTAAAAGAACACTGCGTATTCAGTGCCATTTTGATGTGCTTGGATGTTTTGAGCATACACTTGTAATATATACAAACGAAATAAACGTCTTTTTTTTTCTTGCTCTGCACAAAACAACAATGTTTCGTGGGTGTTTATTTTGTACACTAGTGCCCACCACATATGCCTACCGCTTAATCTTCGAAGGAATCAGATCTTACTGCGGAAAGTGAATAAGAAGCTCGTGAACAGTGAACAACGCCTGATTTCATAGTTACACGATGTCTTTTAATGTCAGATATTACTGTTACCATATATTTTAATTCTTACTTAAAACCGTCTCGTGGAAAATTCCACGTGGTGCCTGCCTCTTCAGTAACCACGCGTTACTTATCCGGAAAACTGCAGCAGATACCAATACAGAGATCCATGATAGTCAAAATGATGGCAAATACAGTTAGGCGAAAATAACCCATGGATTCTTAGCACTTACTGAACTGTGCTCGTACAGCCATTACGGGGAATGAACTGTGTTGCTGAAAGTTTTAGCTACATGATTCGACACCACCTCAAGCGTGGCTGTTTGGCACGAATGCTAAAGACTCGTTGACATGAATGCTACCGTAGAGTGCCGCATTTTCTAACACATCGCAGTAATTATGCGACAGTAAGTTCAGTCAGCAGAGACAAGAACAAAACGGCAAGGTGAAGCTAAAAACCGTTTACTTAAATGCGCTATCCAACCGATTTGTGCTTAACAGCAATACCTATACACAGCCACGATGCAGAACAGTTCTGGGCGTAAGCAGCAAGACACTCGCATCATGCCGGTGTTGAGGGGAGCTGTCTTCGATGAAAAGTACCAGTGGTCTGGCGGAGATACTGAAACTGGAGCACGTCACCGACGCTCGTTATCGCTGCTGTTCGGTTCTGCACCATCTTAGGGAGGCGTGGCTACCGAGGCGTATAGTGGCTGCTGAAATTCTATACGGCGGCAAAGACGCCCATTGTTGGCGCTCCTCTTATTGTGTTTAACGGTGGCATCTGTCTTGCAGCGTCATTCATTGCGTCTATTTCGGTTTAAATAGCGCTTTCCTTAGT